GGTGGCTGAGTTGGCAGCATGCAGAGAGGGTGTCACACTTGCTCTGTAATGGAGCTGGCAACCATTTATCTTAGAAACATGTTGTTTAATGGTGGCGAGGATGATTAATCAAATCACCACAGACATATCATGTGATGCTTGCCTTGTTCAGGAGACAAAGGCCTTGGTCAGAGGAGAGCGGAAGGTGATAGTTAATGCGATCAGGTGTAAAAAATTCTATAGGTCATGAACTTGTTAGGATCGGTCGAGTTGATGTTAATTAAGACCACAGTCTAGATAGGGTCTGGCCCAAATGGGGTTGTAAACCTTTGTGAATTGGATCGTTTTGATCCAGGTTAAGTTAATGGAAGTCTCTTTCCCCCGAAAACGAAAAAAAAACTTTTTTGTATTCTTGTACCTAGTTACACTTATTGATCCAAGTTTCGCTATCTTTCGTGTTTGTTTGATGTGAAATAAATTTTGTTTTGTCATAGCAAAATGATGTTATTTATTAGAAAATAAAGTTAGTAGTATACATTCTGAATTTATTTTTTATATTATTGGACTATTGAATTATTAAAACGGATATAAAAATGAGAGTTTCATACACAATGAAAAAGGAAAAGCATGCAGCAAGACGCACATTTGCTTCTGACGACATAGTTACTATGTACTGAACAGAATGGCTTAGCACAATATTTTTTGAAAATGTTTTTTACTATTTGGGTTATACTATGTTATTGAAAATATGTTACTATGTTTTACTATTTGGGTTTTCTCCTCTTTTTTGTGTCAATGTCATTGCTGCTGGTACCCATTTTCGATGAGTTGTTTGCAATTTTCTTAATAATATTCTGCGTGACTTTGTGCTGATTAATAGTTCTGTTAACGAAATGAGAGATTCAGTCTTTTCTTGAAAGTTTAAACCAACGATCTTTTACCTAAAAGCAACAATTTATCATTTGTGACAAAATTTTACATTTTCTGTACGAGCAAATTGTAATTGTAAAATTTCATCACAAATTATAGTAAACAACAATTTGTCATCTACCTAAAAGCAACGATCATGGTGTTCTGCCTATATCCAAATTATCTAAATTGTAATTTGTTAGTACAAGCAAGCTGTTTGCAAAACATCATAGAACAGAGCGCTCATGTCAGCGCGGCAAAGCGCACATATTGCTTCTAGTTCACTTCCAAATCACATTAGTACACCCACGGAACTCCCCTACCACGTCACTCAAGAGTAAGTGAGCCCCGATCCGGTACACATAGAACAAAGAAGCGCATTTCTATTTGCAAAAAGGAACCATAAGATACCACGAAGTAGTAAGCAAGCTACTTTCATGCCTAGGGTGAGTTTATCGTCACTTGTTAGTACACGGATGGTTCAGTTAAACAACCCGTGAATTTTCTTCAAATTGCGATTTTTTTTCTTTTTCTTCCTTTTGGAGATTCATAGTTATGTTTTCATTTTCAGCTACTATCAGCAGAACACCATGATCTTTTTGGAGTAGTACACTCTACACGGTACGAGGCAGTTGCAGCTAGCGTCTCACTATCGGTTCAAAAGACACAGACCAAGTCAAATTCAGTTCCAACTATTTTTGTCTTTGGGAGAGATGGATGCCAGTTGACCAAGATTGGAATGCAACACTTGGAACAGGTTAAACGCAAAGTTGTCACTTCTTTATTTACTGCTGGCATTAGACTCTAGTACCAATCAAGCAGACCAGCCAGCCACCGCCAGCAGCAGCCCATCTGGCCCCCCACGCGGGCCAGCGTAGTACTGCTCGTCCGCCATGGACACCTCCTTGCTCTCTTGCTAGCAATCCTTGTCTCATCTGGCGACAATTGTGCCAGGCGTGGTAATGGTTGTGGCAAGTGGGTAGAGTACTCGAGCCTTTACAGAGGGGTGGGAGTGTGACTAGTGCAGCGGAGCGGAGCGGAGCGGAGCGGAGCGGAGATAGGCATGTGATGTAATGGGGGAGGGGCGGATATCACATGAAGGAAAAAAGTGGTGGGGTGGTGGTAACGTAAGGCTACTGAAAGTGGGCACCAGGAAAGTTCTACCAAAGTTCAGACTAGTTTTTTTTCTTAGAACTTTAGGTCAACTCTAGCCGATCCCCTATGAAATAGAGAAATTTCCGGTCGAGTAAAGTTTAGTGAAGTATATTTACTCCGCAAACTTTTGGCCAGACCTAGCCGATCGCTTAAATATAACGGAGTATAATTTCGTTTTTTAACTTATGCATTCTAGTTCACATTACAACTACATATAAACTGCACACATATAGAAACTAAACATAAGTATGAAGGTTCAAGCAAATCACGAATATAGTTTGAGAAAGTTTTGAGAGCTCCCTGGTGCCCCTACACCCTAATGAACAGTAAATTCAAAAAATAAATGAAAAATATATATTAAACTTTAGGGGATCAAATATGATCAAACTTTTGAAGTTCTTGTAAATTTTCAGCCACAGATAACAATCGAGGTTCCCTAAAAAAATACTGCTCAAAAGTGCACAAAGACTTTGAACACTGATTTTGTTTTTTTAGGTGAGGGCTCCTCGAATGTTATTGGAAGCTGAAACTTTGCTGGTACGTCGAATGCTTTATCGTGTTTGATGTTTCAATGTTTCAGATTTTTTTTCGTTTTTTTGAATTTACATTTCATAGGGGGTGTAGGGCCACCCGGGTGTTGAAAGTCCTGTCTCATATAGTTTACAAACTAAATTCAAAGTTTACAAAACGAATTATTCAAATTTAAATACACCGAATGGTTCAAATGTAGCAAACAACATGTAAAAACACAACTAGGAAGTACTACGAAAATCAAAGATTCATTCTTTTCTTGAAAGTTAAAACCAACGATCTTTTACGGAAAAGAAACAGTTTATGATTCGAGGTGAAATTTACATTTTCTATACGAGCAAGGGGATGAATATATTGTGCCTGTATCCGTGGATGAGCTCATAACTTAGTGGGGGAGCGCGGTGGTTTCGTCCCACTAACTTGGGTTCGACCTCTCTTCAGGTCAAATTTAGGTCTCACATCCTCTCTTAAACATAATCTCTAAAACATAATGCCGCTAGGTTCCTCCCCGGTTGGTCTAGTCTTTTTTCAATGTGCCACTATCCAAATTATCCAAATTGTAATTTCTTAAATGCAAGCTCATTGCAAAACATCTTAGCACAGCGTGTGCAGTACATGATGCACTCCTGTCAGCGGGCACAACAAAGCACGCATGTTGCTTCTAGTTTGCTTCCAAATCACATCAGTACACCCGCGGAACTCCCCCACCGCGTCACTCATGAGTAACTGAGCCCGATCCAGTACATAGAGAACAGAGAAGCGCGTCTATTTGCAAAGAGGAACCATAAGATACCAAGTAGTAAGCAACTACGTTCCTGCCTAGGATGAGTTTATCGTCACTTGTTAGTACACGGATGTTTCAGAACTGACTTCAAATTGCCATTTTCGTTTCATTTTTTTTCCTTTTGGAGATTCAAAGTTATGTTTTCATTTTCAGCTACTATCAACAAACAGAACACCATGAGCTTTTGGAGTAGTACACTACACGACACGAGGCAGTTGCAGCGTCTCATGCACTATCGATACAAAACGCACAGACCACGTCAAATTCAGTTCCAACTTTTTGTTTGTCTGTCTTTGGGCGCGTGAGATGGATGCCAGTAGAACAAAGATTAGAATGCAACACTTGGAACAGGTTAAACGCAAAGTTGTCACTTTGTTATTTACTGCTGCCTGCTGGCCGGTGGTGCAGGATGCATGACTACCGACGAGGAGGAGAGGCGGAAGAGAACAAGCACATGGAAAAGAAAACCCAACCAGCCACCCCGAGATGAGACTCTACCTACTGGCAGGCGCCTACTTGTCGTCGCCTCCGCCGCTGCCGAAGAGTGCCGACCGGTAGTAGAGGAGGGCGAGGATGAGGACCAGCATGAGCGCCACGCCGATGGGGGATCCACCGACATGGTACACGGCGTCGGGCGAGCCGCCGTCGCAGGAGAGGAGGTGGATGAGGAGGAGGAGCCCCAGCGGGAGGAGGAGCAGGCCCACGGGGCCGAGCAGCTCGGCGATGGCTTTGGCGATGGTATCGATGACCGCCTCGCGGCTGCCACCCAGGAAAAGCGGCCACGCAACCAGCAGCCCCACCACCACCGCCAGCAGCAGCAAGTGCGGCGCGCCGGGCGGGCCAGCGTCGTTCTGCTCGTCCGCCATTGACATCGCCTTGCTCTCTTGCTAGCTGTCAGAGACCTTCCCCTTGTCTTGCCTGGCGACAATTGTGCGAGGCGTGGTAATGGCTGTGGCCTGTGGGCAGAATACTCAATCCTTTATAGAGAGGAGATAGGCGTGTGACGTAATGGGGGAGGGGCGGATCACATGAAGGAAAGCGGTGGGGTTGTGGTAACGCAAGGCCACTGAAAATGGGCCCCACGAAAGTTCCACGAAGGTTCAGGCTAGCTTTTTGGCTGCTACGGTATTTGGGTACTCGAATCCTTGCTTGCTGCTTTGAAACGTACAGCAGTACACCAGTCCAATATTTGCCAGCAAATAATACCCCCTCCATCACGAAATACTTGTCAGAGAAAATGAAATGTATCTAAACATATTTGAGTTATATATACATCATTTTTTATCCATTTCTACGACAACTAATTCCAAATGGAGTAATAGAAATTAACAAATGTTAAAAGATCCACATCATCGTATTATGGTAAATATTTTTTTCTAAAATAACTATTCAATGGATACCCAATTTGTACCGGGAAAAAACATGAAAAAATTCAGTATTTGTCAGGGTTTTAGCTTGTTGGCTTTAAAGACACAGTTTTTGCAGGAAAAATGATAGTGATTGACCAAAGAATAAGCAAAAGTTTAATTGGATATGCGATGTAGGGATCTCCATGCCTCCATATCCAACATAGATTAATGCTCTATCAATTAAGCTACATCTCTGTTCACATGCATTGCACTAATTTGTAATTATACTCGAACTATTTCCTTTCTAGAAAACAAAATTAAAAAACAGTATAACACAGCTACCTAGGAGCCTTCACAGCGATTTGACAGTCTCAGTCGTCGGATCCTCGAACGTGCGATGCAGATCAAAGTCAGGCGAGCCAGGACGCCCGTGCGCGTCGCAGCACCGTCTCGCGGGCCGCTGCTCCGCGGAACGACCTCGCGTTCCACTCAGTAATCGGGCTGTTAAGGCCTACTTCTTTCCATTCATGCCAACAGCCCAAGTTCTCCAGGTTTCAGCGCTATCCCACCCCCGAACGAACGGTCTCTCTGTTCCTCCGCGCCGCCGTTCCTTCCTCACGACGGCGTTCCGCCGTGGGCAAGCTTATGCTCCGCAACTGCCGACGTGCCAGTATGGTCCACCCGCCTTCTACTCTTCCTCCGTAGCCTCTTCCTTGTTGTTCTTAAATTTCATGTCTTGCAGTGTTCATGTATGACGGCTGCAGCAGCCGCCCGCCCCATCGGCTTCCACCGCCGGCTGTCCTCCTGCTACATCATCCTCCATGCCTTGCATCTGTACCGCACGCCCCTTCCCCTCCCGTAACCGAAGCTGAAACTCCATGTTCAACGGCTGCAACCTTTTCACACAGTGGACCAGACCAACGGAACATGCCGCATGTGGTTCATCGGCCATCCGATCCCTCTCATGAAACCCCAAGCTTAGACAAGCAGATGATGGCAGGCGGCGGGATGCCTTCTCGCCTTCTGTGCGCGGAAACATAGGCCAGATGATACACGCGAACACAACGTTGGGGCGATAGTTCTGCACTTCTGCTCTGCTCCGTTCTGCTTAGATCCAGGTGAGCATGTGACATCGTATTGCAGTGTCCTTCACGTACTTTCTATTTAATTTTCCTTGCAAGAAACTATGAGATGACGTTAATTTTTTGTCTCAGTTGTCCTCGAGTGATAAACGTCTAGAGTGGCTGTAGTGCGTGGATAACTTAGATTTGAACGCTGTTGCTCAGACCTTGTGTCCCAATTATTCATGATTTGGTGCTATAACATGTACAGGCTTGGTTGAAAAGACGTGATGAGAAAACATTTCATTTGTTAGTCCCATTTCGAGGCTGTGGGGAAAGCGCATACTCAAATGGTGAGAGCATGATCATTATTTCTAAGCTTGAAGCTCATCGTGACAGACATTTATGATCGAGTTATATTTTATTTGCATCATGATATCGTAGTGGCATGAAAAAAGAGATAATTGTTCTCCTGTAGTTAACCATTCATCTCTTGCAAAGTCTAAACTTGGTTGTTATATATTTGTTTTGTGTGGGTCTGTATGACAGAACTATATTACATTGTGTGGAATCTTGCTTTTTCTTACATGGTAAAGATATGTATGCAAGCTGCAAGTGATAATGGTACTAGCAAAAAATAGTCATACCTATTAGTTAATATAATTCTCAGGTCCTTTTTCAGGTTTCCAGCCATTCTTCATTCTTTGTTTTATGATAGATAAACAATTTGACATTAACGCAACTACTAAAATTGTTGCAGAATTAGAAGGACAATTTTACTATTGCCTTTGCAACTGTGGGACTAATAGGGAAAGAATACAAAATTTCATGTTTCTTTCCTAAACGAGCGACAATTGCCATTGTACTCCCATGTAGTGAGAGGCGGCAAGAAAATGACAGACAACATAGGCTACCCCACACTTTTACTCTTGACCACCATCAATTAGTTCATCTCAGTATTCAACGTGTGCTGGTAATTGACTTTCAATTATGTTAATGTTTGTGCAGTTCGAAGGAACACCATCATGTGATCATGCAATGTCATAGACAACTACTCTGGTGACGCATGCCTTCTTACTGATTGAGAAGGAGATCATATACCGACTCATCAGATTTTTGGTAATTTGTGCCCCCATTGTCATTCACTCATATAACTGTGTGTTGTGCAGTAAAGATTTAGCAACTTTATGAAAATGAACCCCTTTTAGAGAAAGCAAAACATTAGCATAAAATTATTGGTATGTACATGATATTGTGCAGTAGATATTGTATTTTTCTTTTAAACAGTTCGGTATCTTGGTGCCAGACATTAGTAGAGATATATGTCATAACTGGATTCTGGGATGGCACATTCAAGTGTTCATAAAATATTGATGTGATGATATTCATGATTTGTATTTACTTACATGATGTAGTTGTGATCACTGATTCCTCTGTCTCTCTATCTATGTAGAATAATTTAGACAATACAAATTTGTCATATGCTAATAATTATTATAGTTCCAAATTTATCGAATATTTTTATAGTTATTTTTCTAAGATGGACGGGCGCGGCAACGCGCGCCTTCAAGATCTAGTGGTTAACTAAGACAGACATGGTCACATATGGTGAATAGTACTTTTTGCACTTCGAGCAGAGCGGGCTGCCCTCCTCTGACTCCGGTGATGGTACGCCCCTCCCTCGCATCGAGCCCGACCGTTGGTACGAGGAAGTGGAGGATGACCAAGGCCATGGACGGCGCCAGACTCCAAGAGTGGCCTCCACGGGTTGCTATGGCATGCAACTCGGGGGCCCCAGGCACGACCATGACGACAACAACCGGGGAGGCCTCCACCGCTCGTGGAAGGACACCCTCCTGGGCAACTGGCACACCTCCAAGGACAAGGCGCCGACATATGATGAGGTAGAGCCAAGGAGGAGGAGCAGCACGGATATGAGCAGGCACCACTGGAGCGGCTCCAAGGGACGCATCACGTCGTGGTGTCTCTGGATGCTGGAACTAGCACCCACTGTTGCTACATTCGTCTCCGATCACAACTACGGCGAGCCGTTGCATCGGCGACGAATGCTGGAACCACATGGACAATTTGCTTCGGCCGGCAGCGTGTTTTGCTGCAAAGGGAGCGGAGCACCAGTGATACAGCCGTCGACCACGACGAGTCGCACCGAGGAGCAGTGACATCAATTAGCGGTACGGTGTTGTTGATGAGGCAGGGGAAGGTTGTGGATGGCAACGAGCCAAGGCGTTGTGGCTACTAATTCGAGTGAGGAGAGATACGATGTGTTTTGCGTGCAGGGGCGAAGTCCAGAGGCTGGTCGGATGGGTCGCGCATAGGCAGCCGGTCAAAATTTTGGCCGACCGACCGGCGCCTAGCGCTTAATTCAACTTCCCCTAAGAAGGGTTAATTCAGTTGAACTTTGCGAGAAAATAAAATGAGAGATATCGAAAAATAGTCCAAGATGGAAGATATCAATCCCCCAGCCTGTTGCAAGCTTAGCTAAGAGCAGTGCCAATTGAGCTACATCCCCGTTTACATGTATTGTATTAATTAATTAATTATATACTACTACTTAATTTTAATTAAAGAAAGTGCCGTGTCACTTCTTCATTCTCATGACTATTCGGATGTTAAATTTCCCTTTCCAAAAACATTGATATAGGATGATTTTCCCCAAAGTATTGACGTAGATTTGAAAAATGATGAACCTTGTGTTTGAAAATGCTGGATATATACCAATAAAAATACAGTGTGAAATAAAAAGTATGTGACACCTGTGCTTATCTACGCATGTTTTTTTAAGAACACAACAGGGACGCGGGTGCTCACATATACACGTGTACACTCACCTCTATGACACACACACACACACACACACCTTACCCGTATGAGCACCTCCGAGAGACTGAGCTGACATATCATTTTGTGATTGACGAATCACCACAGCTGCCACGTAGTCGACGGGGATGTCTCCTTTCACTGAACGCGCATAGCCAGAAATTCTAAAATTAACACGTGAATCAAATCTACGGAAGGTAATCTCATTATTTATTCGCATTCTGTTTTTAGTGACCCATAACTCAATGCACTCCGTAATGCATTTCTCCTTTTGCAAAAAAAAAGGATTTCTACATTCTTAAGTACCGATGATAGCTGAATAAAAATCTAAAATGTTAGTGTGCAAATTTGCAATGCTAGTTTTATTTACTACGAGCACAACAATTGGCGACTTAAAAGTTGATCATATTTGTTAACAAAAATTTGTCAGCCCATGCATGGTGGCATTTTTTTCATCTTCTTGCTGGCTGATTTAATTTCATAGTCGACGGGGACCTCTCCTTCCATTGAACACGCATCGCCGAAAATTCTAAATTTAACAAGTTGAATCAAATCTACGGAAGGTAATCTCATTATTTATTCGCATTCTGTTTTTAGTGACCCATAACTCAGTGCACTCAGTAA